AACACAGATGCCCCTCCATATATGTTCAGCAGTAATCGAGTCATGACTAAACGCCTTACCGTCCGTCATCCGTTTGATAGCTTTTACCACTTCAGTCTCTGTTACAGGTAATGTTTCATCCTTATCCCTGAATGTATAATATGTATAATAATATGAGTTTTGAATTTTTCTTCAATTGTCCCGCGAAAATCCTCGTTAAATTGTTCACTTTCTGTAGGATTAGCTAACCTTTAAAAATGTTCTTTCCATGCGGCAAATTATTTCGGATGATTTTATCGCCGTGATTTATTTCAGAAATCCAGCTTTTACACGTTCTAACAGATTTTGTCGCGTTAAATAATGCGCATTCTAAGACATCGCACTGTTCATATTCGTAAAGTTCTTCAGACTATCGAATATATGCTCTAGTGTGGAATTCCAGTCGGGAACGATTAGAAATTAAGTTGCTGGGAATAAATCACAATCTAGTTCTAAGTCAGACACACGTCCTGATAATCACGTAGATCTCTATGAGGATAAACATGGATCCCAGTGTTCCAGACCTGCTCTACCCTCTATCAGATAGGCACGAGATAGATGAAACTATCTTTGAAATTATGTGTGACATTGGCATTCTGGACACCATATGCTGACCTACTTGAAGGATCCATTGGAGACGATCTGAAATGAAATGAAATGGGGTTTAACGTCCTACTGTTCTGCTCCTAAACTAGGCTAATGAAGACTGGTATACGCCATACAGTGTGCTATGAGGGAAATTTTGCCCGGGCAGCGGCACTGCGGCCTACTCTTATATCGAATTCCAACTGCCAAGGGATCTTTTACGTGCACGCCAATGTGTACACGGGAGCTCGGTTTTTCGTCCCATCCGAACGACTAGACAGCTGTCCTTGTCAGGCCCTCCACCCTGCATCACTGACAAGGGGAAACCACGCTGGAAAATCTGGATGAACTTTCTCGGCCAATGCAGGGATCGAACACCCGACCTCCAGGCTAGCGAGCCAGCGTCTTACCCACTTAACCACGTTATCCCCCTGGAGACGATCTAATTTTCCAACAAATCTAGTAGCTGTCATTGTTTTTTATGTCATGTTAGAATATAGACATATATTGGTATGGTAATTTTTAACAGAATCGGGTAAAGAATTCAAAGGTCTAACTACAGGGGGTAAACAAAGAACTGTACAAACATTTATAAACGTCTATTTGTCATGTTTTATTTCAGTAATTGTTTTATACACAAATTAAATGTGGTGGGGTTAGGGGTCGCATATCGCAGGTTATCTCTGGGTTTTCCCTTTTCCTGTAAACGCCCTTGTGCGCTGGACAATTATTGAATTAACCGGTACGAATGATCTATGGACCAGGAACTCACTATGACGTCATCACTGCAATCCAATGAACAATCATGCCAAGTTTCAAGTCAATCGGATATGAATTGGCAGAGCTTTTAGGCTGTGTTCGAAGAGCCTAGCCCCAAAACCAACTGCAAGATTTGTAGTGCTTGGGGAACTGTTTCTGGTTCAAAAATACACCGTACGTTGATGGAGACCACTATGACCTGATAGTATCGTGAGGATTAAGCCTAGTCATTATTTCGCCTGATTTTATAATACTAATTTATTTCATCTGTTGATGAAAATCTTTCTGGATAGTTTACAGGTCAGTTGGTGTTTAATTTCTGTAGAATCGAAAAGAGTATTTGAATTTACATTCTCTACCAGGTTTTGATGAATATTCATGATCAGAAATGAAATAACCTTTGGCCAAGCGCAGACAACGATCGAGGTTATCAACCCGTACATTATTATGTTCGGATATTTGTCGTAACAAATATTACAATCTCATGAATTTAACATTGATGTCAATGGGTAGTCTTAAACGAGAGTTATATTCCTTTAATAGAAAACACAACAGTTTCTTAAAGCTGTACTCCGATTACAAAACTACAGTAAGAATTAAAAAAAAAACGTTAACGTCCTTAACAATCGCCATAACAAACATGGCGATTGTACGGCGTACAAAAACAGAGGCAGGCCACGCCCACATCCAGTAAATGTATATGCCTTGTCAACCACAGTGCCCACATCCGGCTAGCAATATTTCAACTACCAATTAACCCCTGACTGATTGACGGTTTTTTTTCACTATCAGTTTACTGAAAATATTATTGGTACACAATTATTATTATGTGTGATCAGGTAAACCACGGTGTGCTTTTGCTCTAAAAATATGAGAAAATCTGCCTTACCCAAACAATAACAAATCTACCAACACCAACAAATTCTATGTCGTTGACATAACATCTAGGGACATAAAATATGTCACTTGATCGTTACAAATAACAACAAGATGGTGAATATTTGATGGTGTGATAATATACTTCTTTGATGGAGAGAACAATAGTCTTATTTTTCTTTAATTATTTCTGTAGTTTTGTAATCGGAGTTCAGCTTTAAAGATGAATTAGGTAAGAACTATGTTATGTAAATTATTAATTAAACATCTATTCACATTAAATGGATTTTAACACGCTCACTGTTTAAAGGAGTTAATTCTTTAATCTTTGGCGCCGAAAAATGGACACAAATGCTTCGAAACGCATATAATAATGTAATGTGAATGTATATAAACTGATTTACATTCAATTGTTTCTGTTTACTGTAATTTCTAATCAGTTATGTTCGGCGAAATAAGCGAAGAGTCCGAATCGAGTAGCATTCTTTGGTGCCTGGTTATTCCAGTCTACACTGGCGTATTCTCCAAATATAACCTCCAAATATTCTCCACTCTACTGTGTATAAACAGAATAATCCAGGAAGTTACGATACGCCAATATCGAAATGATCTTTGGGATATAAACATATATTTTAAGTGTCATCCAAATCGGATTAAAATTGTGACTTCTATATTGAAGGGCAGTTTAGGTCCGATGTTCATGACATCAAATACAGGGGCCATAATCCAGTTAGTTACGGTCTGATACGCGCAAATATCGAAAGGAAACGAGATCTTTGGGATATAAATATATTTTTTAACTTTCATCAAAATAGGACAAAAGAAATTGTAACCTATAGAAGGTCCAAACTTTAAAAACGCGATTTTCACGTGGACTTATTATGTCGTCGCCCATTTCCGACGATGGAAAACAGCGCTAGACTTATTATCATAACAACGGTAGCAGTGAAAATCGACACCATGCAATTCTTCAAACGTTCATTACTTCACTCAGAACAAAGTAATTTGACTGAAATTTCCAGTATATTCATTTTCATGATCTGCTTTTAAACTATTATAGCCAAAACTGTCAGATCTTTATCTAAATCTTATATAATGCATCTTTAATAGCGATTTTTACTGACGAAATGAAATGGGGTTTAATGTCCTACTGTTCTGCTCCGATTGGGATAATGAAAACTGGCATAAGCCATACAGTGTGCTATGAGAGAAATTTTACCCATGCAGCGGCACTATGGCCCACTCTTATATCCAAGTTCAATTGCCAAGGGATCTTTTACGTGCAAGCCTATGTATACAGGAGACCTCGGTTTTTCGTCCCATCCGAACGACGAGACAGCTGTCCTTGTCAGGCCCTCCTTCCTGCACCACTGACAAGGGGAAACCACGTCGGAAAATCCCGATGCACTTACTCGACCAATGCAGGGATCGAAGACGCGACCTCCAAGCTAGCGGGCCAGCGTTATACCAACTTAGCCACCGTGGCCCCTGGTAGGGTTGTGGGTATTACGGGGTCAATTAGGCATCCTACCATAGACCAATATACAAAATGTTTCAAGTATTGTTATCCTGTAATAATTTGTGGCTAAACGTCACAATCTATTTTAGCCTCTGGCGTTCCCAGAAGATATGCCAAAATTCCATAGATTTCTTTTCCAAATTGTCAATCTTCTGTTTTAATGTAATATGCAACACATTGCAATTTGCCATTGGGGTTTGGGAGTTTTTCGCCTCGTTACCCCACCTCCCTCATTCAGTCCCCTGTTGCCTTTTTAAAAATAACCTTGCAATTTCTTGCTCAAAAGAACGTATGAGGGTAACCATGGAAAACTTGAGATACACAAACTGGAAGTAAAACCAAAAAACATGCAATTTTCCGCCCCACATTTCAAGCTGACTAACCTCTCAACTCTTGTATCCTTCGGCCTCAAAATCATGAATATTCACCAAAACCTGCCAGAAAATGTATTTTCTTCGATTCTACACCAAAAGGTCAACCAAAATCGCCATGCAAAAGGGGGAAATAAGGAAAGGGAGAGAAAGGGAAAAATAACTTTCGCCCTTCATTCGTGGGTGACGCATAGGAATATTGGGTGACGTCGTAGGAATATTTGGTGAGCTGTGTCCATATTCACCCACGATGTTTTATTTATTAATGGTAACCAGCCTTTATCAGCTATATCAGGAGCGGATCCAGAGGGGGGGGGGGGTCAGCTACATAATTTTTTTTGTAAATCAGTACTTTTTATGAGAAAAGTTTCTCGGCCGTGTGCTTTATCCTTTATCGTCAGATGTGGGACAGCATGGGCACTCAAAGCACGAGATAATGATATGGACATTATGTGATATCACAATTAATGCTTTGCATCCATGAAATTGAATGACAAAGTCATTGTATTAATTCATAATAAATTCATAATTCATAATTTACATCAAACGAGGTGTTGAATTTCTCTGTTTAAAAAGCTCAATGTGTATGTATAACGCAAAAATGACCATAGAGACCATGCGGGAGGAGGGGGGGGGGATACATTGTCTCGGGAACCTGGCAAACTCCCTCCTGCAAAAATTCCTGGATCTGCCCCTATGTATTCAATTGATGTTATCAAATTTCATATTAGGAATTTTTTTCAGTCGGCGTGGATAACAACAATGTACAATAAATTATTAAATATATTTTACATGCAAGACTAGAGTTTTAAAACGTTAACCCTCATTATATATGTAATTGTTGTAGGCGTTCGCAATTCATCCGTTAAAGCAACCAGGGCACGTGAGTATCTACGCATATCATATTAACGCCAGGGTCGTCAACAAGTTATATTTTGGATACTAGGTAAGTGCATTTTTTCGCTATGATAGATATCTCATCATTAATGTATATTTTCATAAATTATTTCTTATATTACGAATAATTAATATTAATATTGATAAAAGTTAAAAGTACAATATTCATAGCCGTGCGAGCGGGAAGGGGGGGGGGGGGCAGACTGTTAAAGTTCAAACAAAACTTATTGTTTCATCTAGTTGGCAAAATAATATATTAGAAATCTAATAACACATTAATTTTACTTTTCTTTTAATTGAATACCACGAATTTGTACTGAATTGACTATTGATTAAAGCATTTTGTCTGGAGCCACTTTTCTTTGTGTGAAATTTTTCGGGCATCGATTATTATTTGCGAATGCAGCTGCAACAGTCTGGTTGGATGGTTGGAATTCAGATCGGCATAGAGTCGGATTTCGGTTGAAAACCAATTGGAAAATTTGAAGTTGACTAATTCACGGGCTAGAATAGCAGAAAAACGCATTTGCGGCAGTTAAATTTTCAAAATTTTCTCAGGGAGCGCGAGCCCAGGGGTAAGCATCAGCATCGCATCAACCACGAGGCATAGTGGGGCACAGGCCCCAGGCCCCTCCACATTAGGGTCCCCCAAAACCAAAAACAATCTCAGCTGCGCAAAAAGCGATTTGAGCAGATGAATATTAAAGCTTATACCATGTCCAACTATGCACTAGTGGAAATTAATGCCGGGCTAGTGTCTAACAGTAAATTACTGGCCCTCTAGTGGATTCAAATTTTATTTTACACCCCTGGCGAGAGGCCTCCATACCCCGCGACGATTGATTGGTTGTTTGGGATTTAAGATATAGGTAAGTCACCTAAAGTGACATCATTGGACAACATTGAAGTTGCTGTATTCACTGGCTGGAATAGCATGAAAACGCGTTTGCGGCAAATAAATATTCAAACATTCACCGAGCCCGTACGCCTACGCACCACGGGACCATTTTATGTATAAAATCTTGGTAAGAGGTCACCGGTGAAGCGCGAAACACCCTTCATAAAAGGCGTTTGGTTATTTAAAAGTATAAATGTATAAATAATGAATTGCGCCAACACGGTAAACTCCGCTCCTTCGTCTCTCGCAGACGTCCGGCACCGCCGCCTGTAACCCGAAATCTTTTCGGGCATTTCAGGTTCTGTCCCCCTAACATTCACCAAGCCCGTACGCCTAGGTAATATTGATTTAGTAACACAATATTTATTGCGCAACACAATATTTATTGCGTAACACAATATTTATTTTAGAGAAACCCAATTACGAAATTTTAGAATTGCCATTTTTATCTTTAATTATATATGAATCAGTTTTCTAACAAAACTTTAATTTGTGGCCTGAAAGAATGAAGCGCCATAATTAGCATATCAGGGAATATGACCGCCTCTGCGTTTCCTAGCAACCAGTTTAGTTATAAACGTTTAATTTTTGTAACAATTTCAGTTATAACAAAATGTTTTAACGTTTATTACAACACATATTTCTACTGGTGTAGGTTATTAAGTCATTAGAAAAACAAGTTATTGTTAGATACTTAACGGTTTCCATTGTCCCGGATACAAGATTCTTGAGTGCGACTCGGGAAAGTCGAGCGGCCTGAGCACCAATCTCGACAAAAAAGCCCCGGTTTCAAACTCTATCATTTGAAAAAATGAACCTCGGTATTTTCCAACTGGGCGTTTACGTGTTAAGGGGTAGAGGCAATGGGGTATTGGCGTGCACGTAACAGGAAACCTTGGCAGTTACCACTCGAAGAAGAGTAGACAGAAAGGCCTTGATAAGTCCAAAATTCTGTAGCCACATTATAACCACAGTCGGATATTGGCTTCAAACTCGTTTTATTAGATAGCACATTTCATAAAATGCTACGGAAATAGATAATGCGGTCATTAATTAAAAAGATTTACCTTTTAAGAAAATACAGAGATTGGCAAGTACCGCCAATATCTCCTTTGCTTATCAAGAACCCTTCAGTGATCCTGTAGAGACAGGATGTAGCGTTTCAGAAATTAGATCTGAATGGCTGTGAGAAGACATTATTTACCGCCATGGTAAACTTTGCACTTAAGAAGTACACAGCGTTCAAGGGTTTTGTTTTCGCCTAATAGTTATATTGAAGCCACAGAATTGTTCCTGCTAAAACATGACACTTCTCCAAATCTGAATTGGGGCCGTTTTGCAGAATGGTGTAATAGGGATGTACTACACTTGATCATTTAGTGCCGTAGCAACGAATGTGTAGCAGGGTTAGTCTTACACGTCGGATTTGGTAAGCCAATGACCAGGCTTACGTATTCGGTTTGTCCCAATTCTCCTACGTCGAATTCTACACTTAACATAAATATACAAATTATCATATGATTGTATCATAATGACCGAAATATTATGTTGATCAAACCCCATTCAGTTCCAAAAATACACCTTAGGACGTAAGTAAGCTTAAGAGCAAGAGTTGGTATATCATTATTAAATAATTCTTAGTTACACTATTTTATTAATCTTTTCTAAGGAAGTGCCCTTTGTATATGTGTTATATGTTTTGACAGACCGGTATATTTTAGCTACTTAACATCAGTACATTCTATGTCGTCGCGCTGGAACTGTGCCATTGACAGACACGAGTGTACTACTGTTGTCATCGTCAATTTAGGAGACAAACACCCATTATAAATTTTACTGCATAAAAAAGTTTTGTAATACTATTTGATAATTTATGCGAAATTGTATTAAACGAATAAAAGTGCACTAGAGGACATGAGTTATAATTTGATAAAAACATATGTTTTATTTCTATTCTCCATTGTCAGTATATTAGTTATGGTAGTGTAATACAATATCATTTGGGATCTAAATTTCAATATTGTATTCTTAATTCATATTTTATTTGTAACTCAATTTTAGACATATATTAAGTGACAGATTAATTGTAAGATTTAATCTATATCAGGTGTAGGTTGTTGAAATAATATTATGTAAGATTTAATGGATTGTACAAACATGTATACTCGGAGTGTCTATATGATATAAGATTCAGGCTTAACACGTATTGACACCTTTTGTCTTGAGCTAAGATGTGTTAATCTTAATAATTACTTTTCATTGTTCTGATTACGAATGGTATTAACTATGGCGTGCCTGAACCGATATAAAAAGCCTAGTTTACAAGCAGGCAGGGAAGGGTACCCGTTTGTTTTACCGCTATTCATTCACTGTAATCAACACTCACCTCTAACATTAACATGGCCATCATAACATCCCACAATTCCCTATGTACGTTCTCTTTGTGCTGGGAAACATCATACTCTCTTTCAACCAGACGCTTTTCCACTACAGACTTCAAATATATTTTTAGCTGTATATAAGAAAGTAGCTATAATATAGGAACTTTAATTGTATTTTGTATTATATTACCGTTTGTATATATCATCTCATATTGACTTTGTATATAACAATTGTAAATAAATAAATAATTCTACTGTATTAAATTATAAATTATCTGTTGCATTGTTAATATAATTATGCATAACTGAATGTAATTATATGAATTTTATAAATAAACTATATTTAAAAAAAAAAAAAAAAAAAAAAAAAAAATATCATCTCATATTGACTTTGTATATAACAATTGTAAATAAATAAATAATTCTACTGTATTAAATTATAAATTATCTATTGCATTGTTAATATAATTATGCATAACTGATTGTAATTATATGAATTTTATAAATAAACTATATTTAAAAAAAAAAAAAAAGGCCCGTAGAGGCTGAGAGGTCTCCCGGACCTCGGGAGAGGGTCTGCCCTCGTCACCGGGCAGAGGGGTCCTGTGAGGCCGAGGGGAAGCAGCTATAGCTAGACGTAACTTCACCCAACCAAATGATGTTATTATGTACCTGTAAATATGTTGTCCAGTATTAAAATATCTTTTTAATAAATAAGAGTTATGTATTATATTACAGTATGAGTTTATTTAAAACGCAAATTAAATTGTTTATGAAATATTGTGAGAATAACAGGAAAGGGGGATCCGTGTTGATATGATACATGAATTGAACTATATGATCAGAAATGGAATGTGTCTGTTGACCAAATTTGGTAATGAGTCCCTGTTGGTATGCAAGGCATGAAGCACGTGATCGGAAAGTAAGCATTTCATATTTGGCATGAGTGACCAATCACATGATTAATTATATCATAAGAAGCCAATAGAATAATTAATGGCTGTGAATCTGAGAGTATATAATTTATAGAATGTGCGCTCTGGGTTAGACACCACTGAAGATTTGAGAGAGGACACATCATGTAGAAATTAGTTGGGAGAGACCGTTGAGGTTCTAGGGACACCATCAGGTTTCAGAATGAGAGAGGACACATCATGTAGAAATTTGTTGTGAGAGACCGTTGAGGGTCAAGGGACACCATCTGTTTTCAGAATGCCCCGTTAAGAAGTCGTAGGAGATCCATATGATGTATTGGGATCCGTCAGTAAACTCGTTCTAGGGAATGGTGGGGTTGAGAGAGTGAAGAATGACTTTGTTGTAATTTATGCTCTATGTAACCTATATGTAGCAGTATTAATATAAAATGTAGAAACGAAATGTGGTATTGTTGTTACTGTGTGTAACCATAAACTGAATAAGTAGCAGAAAAAGTACACAATATTTAAAGTGGAGTCCTAAGAAGAAAATAAGAAACAAATGCGACCAGGGACAATACTAGACAATCATGGGCTGTTCCAAAATATGTAGTAAGAAACGATGCATGGGTTATACGCCAGATGTGGCGAACGGTTTTATGAGTTCTCCGCTCTCCGCGTCTGACCGACGACCCATGGTGCTACAGTTTTCACAGTACGATATATCACAATGTCACTCAATTTTGCCTAAAAATCAAATTAGGTTATCCCCAATACTGCTGCATGTCAAAATCCAACCATTCATCTCTTTTAAAATGAATCTAAATATGTCTCATATGTATTTATTTTTACCGTTAAATAACTCGGATATGATCTATGTGTTTGTGAAGACATTGAAGACTCAATATTTTCACATACATTTGAAAATTAGGAACTTTATTCTAATTATGTACTGCTGAGGCATGCCGGAGTCTCAAAACATGGGTGAGCTACAATTTACATTGTAGTCAGTGGGAGAATTAATGGCGGTCTGCCTCCGCCAGTTGTTAAATTAATATTTCGCCTTAGACTACTAGTGTTGTGCCTTCCCGGTAGCTAAACAAAATAGTCTACTACGGCTTCCAGTTCTTGTACCTTTTATTATTGCTGAATGAAGTAAATAGTTAATCACACCCCCCCCCCCCTCACAGAAATAGCAGTTTGATAATTATTAAAAAGAGAAATTTAAAAGCTAGAATTTTTATATTTTAATTTTCAGAAGAACGGAAATGGAATCAAAAAAAGAGAAAGCCTTTGATATAGATGTTGAATTTAAAGAAAGATTGAATTTAACAAAACAGGGTATGACTAAAAGGATGGATAAATGGGCTGCTGATTACGATTCAGTAAGTAAACGTCAGATTAGGGTGCGCACAGATGACACGGATGCCATAGACGCGGGAAATGAGAATTTTAATTACACCAGTTAAAAAATCTAATAATGAAAACATTGTTTATACCATATACATTTTTATGTTTTAACTAAATTTATTATCTGTTTAGGCTATGGCGTCCATAGTTTACACAAACCCAGAAGTCGTTAGTCAAATTGTTGGTGAACATTTTCCTACTAATAGAGAATATGTTAAAATTGTTGATGTTGCTTCCGGTACCGGATTAGTAGGAATTGAGGTAATATACTTTCCTTTCGTTTGATATACATTATATGACAAATATGTACGGATACATGTTAAGTGCCGATAATGTCGGCGGAAATTTGTAAAGAAAGACTCATCTTGAGTAATATTGGTAATACGTGGAGATTGGCCTAAAATACGAAAATACACCGTATTTTATTAAAGATTGATTCAAATTAAATAATTGTCTGCTTCACAGATTCATTAATTTAAGTGATTTAATATTTTGACATTCATGTTAATTGTCATTGCTTTGAACAAACAGAATACTTTCTACCTCAGTTGGAGAAAAATTTAGCAATGTGAAATATTTTTCTGATATCGCACGATGTAAAATCGAAATTAATTGTTTTAAAATTTAAAATGAGTATTTTACTTCCAGTTAAATAAAATTGGTTTTAAACAAATAGATGCCATGGATCCAAGCCCTGGAATGATGAAAGTGGCTAAAAGTAGAAATGTGTATGATAAATGTTATATAGATTATGTTGATGGACATCCTCTGTCAATAGATACAGGTGAAACCCATAAAAAAGAACTTACGGTGTGGATCACGAGCATCCTCTCTGTGTGCCAAGTTTTATTCATATCCCATAAATGACAAACTGCGTATATTTAAGCTTCGAAAAGAACTTAGTTGTGACAATAACATCGACTGAATCTTGTAAATATCACAGTAGACTCTGTATTTGTATCTGGTACACTAAAAATGTCATATTTCATCTCATTTTCTTACTGTCTGTAATATCTGACTAGTTCTGAATTATACTAAACAGTAAGAATTTGACTAAGTTTTGCTGTGTATGACGTCAGTAAATTTTACTAAGAGAAATGATACCTCCTTTTACAGATACCTACGATTGTGCCGTAGTGGTGGCTGGTTTTTCAATGGGTCAGGTACCAACCAACGCTTTGTTTAAACTCATCAGAATTGTTAAACCAGGTAAAATACCCCCAAAAAATATCAGTTCTTTTAAACCATATACTGCCGTCGGCCACCCCACCCCCCCCCCCCCCCGAAATAAAAAATCTATAGAATACCATAGTATTTTTCTATAGAAATTTTAGCATAAATCCGTAGTAATCAATATAGAATTTGCACTACTGAAAATGTAGAATATTTGGGCTATTATGTCCTACAGGCCTATAGAGTTAACAATTACAGAAGGTGATTCAGACTGGCGAGGGCTACATCAATCAGATATTTACTTTTTTAGCCGTTTTGATGGCTCCCTCGGCAACTTGAACATGAGCAGCATCACATTAAAACTCCTGCTTTGTTGGTTCAGTCATCCCCTGTGTCAATCTAAGAAGACTGAATCCAGAACATAAAAGAGTTAACATATATTATCAAACACTAGCACCGTATTCAAATAGAGGTGTTACGATACTATTTTCTCTGGGTTTACTTTAGAATTCTAGTATTTTGTATTAGCTGTAATGAATACCAATATACTTACAGGTGGTTTTATTTTTATCAACATGATGGAAAGTAACCTAGTTCGGGTTGAAGAATTCAAAGACAGATTAGAACCTTTATGGGAGAGATTTACAAATAATGGTGTTTGGGAAATTGTTAACAGGGAAATCAAGCCCCCAGGTGACTTGATGCTAAGTGCCAAAGTTTTGGTTTCTGATACAACACTGCCAAGACTTCCCTCCGTTGACAATTCTTAGAGTGAATAAGCATTATCGTCAACAGTTATTATCCCAATGAATTAATTATTAATTAATTATAGCTGTGTGTACTGATTAAATTAATATTCTTATATCTACAGTACTACTAGCAAATATACTCAAGTTTATCAAACATAATCGTATTAAATCACTTCTTTCATCGCATTTATAACTACACTTGACCATTTCCTTTTTTTCTGTGTGTTTAAAAAAGTTTATAACAAGAAAGTTTTATTTATTTATTAAACAAAGAAGAAGTGGAATTATTGTGTTTAAAGAGATATAATATACGGATTCTAGTAAGATTTATTTTTTAAATATTACATAACCAAAAATTAATCTCTACGAATTCTTTGAACTTTTTTCAATGTCTTTGACTCCAAGCAACGGGAATTAAAAGAGAAATCTCAGATATATATCACTGGATAAAACTGGATAATCATTTGTGGAAGACTGTTAAAAACATTTATTTTAACACAAAGCCAATATCTGAGGCCAGCGATCTAAAAGAATAACCTAAAACCTACGACGTATTTAGGCGATCATTTTCAAATTGGATCAGCAGTCTCTTGTCTAACAGACCAAGTAGCGTCTCGGTTGGTAGTTTCCCCAGGGTTCGATAATAATTCCTAGGTGGTTTAACGTGACATCAAAAATTACATTGGGCATGTGCACAGGTACAAAACCGAAGCAAGATGCGTTTAAAGTGTTCACTAGGTATGCCAATAACTTGTTTGCCCTTAAGAGTGATGCCACGACTGTCAAATTCATTAATTTTCAAAATGTAGCCTATTTTGTGTAGTTACGCATATGCATGACTGATCAAACCGACAATATACGCCTCAGAAAAATAAGGTCAAAAATTAAGACGCACACCCACCCGAAATTGTAAAGTGTTTATTTATGCAACTTTACCATCATTTTTTTTAGACGAAATTATATATATAATTATAATAATAAAGGAGTTTATGTAAGTCATCTGATAAATATATTCATTATAATAGCTGGCGTCATTTAGATATGCGGCATTATCATTTTCAATACCCGAATAATAAATGTTAATACCATCCCTTTGCAAGACATTTTACAACAGAAATAAGAGTTTTATTTAATTCCTCGATCGTTTTGGTGATTATACAAATTTATTATTTCAGTTTTATTCAAAGTTTGAACTAATGATTCAAAACTTCATATTGGCGTGTGCATAAGAGACCGACGACATGCAGTTGCTTCAGTAACCAGAAATTCTTACTTTAAATTAAAGAGCTGAAGTGGTTCCCGGTGAAACGAACAGGGGATATTGGGGGAAGATTGATAGCCCACCACCACCACCAGCGCTCACGCTATCGATCGCCATTGCCGCCAATAGCGATAAAAATTTAATTTTGGCGATAAAATATTTAATCTGGCTAAATTTTTGGCGATAACTGTTTCCTGTATGGCCATTTTTTTTTTAATCGTGGCGATAAATTTTTCTTGCCAAAAAGCTTTGATTTCCACGCCGTGCATACACACGTTATTGTCTATTATGCGCTTGGCTGAGTCAGTTATCAATTAATTAGGTGCCAATAATAGAGATATCTTTTGTCTCTTGATCAATCTCACACACATACACTTTGTTTGAGATACTTGGGTAAGCGCTTCGTCCGCCTGCCCATTTAATACCCCACTATTATTTTTGTCTGCGTTTTTACCTGCTCTCGCTGTTGACATATAACATAAACAAGGAAATCTCCCCCATATGACACATTTTGTAATTTTACTAATTAGAATACCATAAATTTTAAGAATATCTTTTGCGGTTATTATTTTATTTTGATTTTATATTACGAAAATGTAACTAAAATTAATGTAAAGCTACGAAGAAAACAACTTTGCAGTCCACAATTAAATTTGTAGTTCGTATATTTATAGGAATTATCTCTCTCCCTTTTTACCCCTTTCACATGTTAGTTTGCTAATTAGGATATCATAAATTGTAGGGGGACACGGTGGTTTAGTGATTAAGAAGTTGGCTTACTAACCTAGAAAACCCGTGTTCGATCCCTGCGTTGGCCGAGAAAGTGCATCGGGATTCTTCAGCGCGTTTCCCCCTTGTCAGTGGTGCAGGACAGATTTTCTTTATAGCACACCGTATGACGTATGTCCGCCTTCATTAGGCCAGTCGGGGCGGAACGTAAAACGTAAAACCCCATTTCTGTGTTATACACACACTTTATTTATTGTGATGTTAGCGATACTACAAATTCGATTACCAAATACATAGAGGGTGTGTGACTGTATTAGTGGATTGCTACTATACCTTGTGTATATACGTCATAATACGTCCCCCATCGTCATTCGCCCTGTCGGAGCAGAACGGTAGGATGTTAACGCGCTTTTCTTTTCGTGTTACACTTGAAGGAACACGTATAAGGTAAATGTTATTCAGACACTGCACTCTAGGTATTTTTTCCACCCGGGTAATAAAGTACTCAGAACGTCGCCAACTCATGTTGTTTACTCGTTATTCGAATGTTGGCAAGATTGTTCAGCAAAACATGCATCGTTATATAATCATTGAAAAATGATATGCGCCATTTGCATTTTCGCTAAACTATCAAATTTCTCACGGCTTAATACGCGCTAAATATGTACTCAAGTTGATTATTTAACATTTAAATATGAAAATAAAATCAAAATACCAACGCTTGATAATCTCCAGACTTGAATTCAATCGGATTTAAACGAGGCCCATCAGGTTTCTCCGCTACCGATAAAAGATGATGGCGTCTTGCATAGATCGATAATATTGTACTGATATTACAGGCCCATCGGTCAAATAGTGTTAAGGTAGTGTGAGTTTTAAAAAGAATGTCAAATTAGTTATTTCCGGACTGAGAAGTCACATCCTGCATTAACATGAGTTTACAGAAACAAATGATCAATATGTCCCCCGTCTTGCACTAATCACCTTTTCCACCCACAAATCGAAAAATCACCCCAACCCTCCAATACATTTTTCAGGTTATGTTTTAGCTCAGTGTAATAATAAAGATTAGATTAACGGAATATTCAAGAAAATATTACAGGCAAAGAAATATGATGGATTTAATCGGAAGTCAAGTATGGAAAGAGAATTAGTGGTCTTCATCCTGGTGTCTTCAACAAGAGTTATGTCCCTCTAACAGCAAAACATTTAATTTTCGGATTAAGCTAACAATCATTGATCGGACCAAACTTCATTTTTGCCGACTGAAAGGCAAAATATATATATATTTTTTTAATCACTTTACCTGTCTACCCGAGAGATACCTCTTCCCCCCCCCCCCATCCCTCCAGGGTGTGCCAATGGGGAAAGAACGGGTTTAAAGAAAAGTAGCAAGCAATAAGTACTTAATCTACTAATTAATTTTACCGCCAATTGATGACGTACGAAGTGGGAAAATTCCCGTCAGGTGTTGTTGATTTGAGGGAGTTGAAATAGCAGCAATAACCTACAAGTACACACACAAAAAATTGACCATGAAAGACAAAAGATGTTTTAAAAAATGTAATTGGCAAAATGATGTCTGTTTGTCATGTAATCAATGTTTAAAATTATTCACCTCCCTGGGGAAGGGAGCTCCAATCAATACATTCCATACTTAAGGTGGGTTGCTAAGTTTTTGTGTGTGTGGAAATACCTATTTAGTTTAAATACAAACTAACAAAAAAATATTTCATTATTAAGAACTTTTCAGTTTGGTTCCCTACGGTTGTATAAGGATTTATACAAGATTACCAGAAACAACTTCTGTTGTTTAGTAAAATAATTGACACTAACGTGTTAGTATTTTCATTTGTATCCACTTACTTTTTAATTGACTCAAGGTGGACAATTTCCCGCCATTTAACTGACCACTACAGATTGACCTATATAGTGGCCAGTATGGCTATTGTTCCGAACTCCGTCACGTGAAAACAATATTCAGTGGTTAGCTGTGGTTTATTTTTTTTTTAAAAAAAAAGAAAAAGAGAAAATAAAACCGTTAGCCTTTTATACTATAGTAATTGTAACTGGTGATTTGCCTAGAATTAAATACAGTATGAATGTTATTATGGGGATAGGTCATTTTATGTTGTTGCATTTTTGAGCATTATATAATCAAATACTGTACATGGAGTGGACCAGGCGATATATGAACGCCATTGGCACCTGGAACCACACTCTCAGAAAAGCCTGGCGCAATCCATCGGCTGTGATTGGTCTCGGTACGACGTTTCTTTTGCTGCTTAGTATATATACTAGAAAAACCAATCCATGTAATTTACAAATCATAATTTGAAATTAATTTCAAACTATATAATTAAAATTGGAACGTCTGGGTTTTTAATGTTTGCACCTATAACTAGAACAAACTGTGTCGACTTTTTCACAAGAAAGGGAATATAGCAAGGAATGGAAGGTATTTATTAGCTACAGAAAGAGATTATACCATTTAAGGGGGCCTTCTCCTTTCCACCACTTTTAATTGTGTGGTTCAATAATTTTAATAATTCATTAATTCAGTGCTCAGTGTAGCGTTTCTATCTGTTCTAGGACGGTCGTTCTGTTGAGTCACGTACATGACTGTGTTTTCCTATAGATTCAAAGATGATGTCAGCGTTTATTTATAAAAGATGATTTTCTGATTCTTTCAAATGTAATAACTTATATTATATTTTTTATTATCAGTGTCTACCTTAACATGACTGCTATATGTCTGCCCTAACACGATCTGATTTGTTGATCAGTATACAATATCGTTACTGATAAGTACAGTGTTGTCTAGTCGTACGGGTAGGGTGGAAACCCGATGGACACCCATGTGAACATTGACGTGCACGTAAAAGAGGACTTACGAAGAGTAAGCATCTATCCTCTAGCGTTGCACACGTTAGTTTAGAAAAGAATTATGCATATGTTAGTCTCAAAATGAACGAAAATTAGTATTGACGAGAAGTTAAATTCCATTGCTTTCTTCTATCTAATCAGATTACTCTCTTTATCATAAAAATAGTGACAGCTCTCTTTAACCTAACACAATAGGTTTCCTATTGTTAGGACATTTAATACTATTTATATTGAATAGCTTTCTTTCTGTTGAGTACTTAAGACATTTTACAATGTGCGGTATGTTGATGTCGTGAGAGGAATTGGGTTAACAAAACTGCTTTGGAAGAATTTCGGACAATGGTCATTCGGGGTCAACCCTAACAAAGAGTTCAAACGATGACGTGAGATAAAAAAAAGCCTGGGGTATGTTTAAT